TCCGGCCGGCTTATATAAAAGTCTATGACATGAATGGACCTTCTGTCACTTCTAATCATTTTATAAAAGAGAACCTGTATTGGAAACAAACAAATAAAGAGGAAGTGCCGAGACAGCCGGCTATCTGCACCGTTATTGTCAGAGAAATCGGCTTTCCGACCCGGTGCAAGTCAGTGATCAGCCACTTCCATCACCTTGCCAGACCGCTCCAAGGCCAGCCATTGGCTACTTGGGCACCTCCTTCCCCTTATTGGACCGCTCCAAGGCCAGCCAGTGGCTACTTGGGCCCCTCCTTCCCCTTATTGGACTGCTCCAAGGCCAGCCATTGGCTACTTGTGCACCTCCTTCCCCTTATTGGACCGCTCCAAGGCCAGCCATTGGCTACTTGGGGACCTCCTTCCCCTTATTGGACCGCTCCAAGGCCAGCCATTGGCTACTTGGGCACCTCCTTCCCCTTATTGGACCGCTCCAAGGCCAGCCATTGGCTACTTGGGCACCTCCTTCCCCTTATTGGACCGCTCCAAGGCCAGCCATTGGCTACTTGGGGCACAGAGTGCTTGTTGTCCGATGGGGGAACGGAGGGTGCAGACGGGATTGGTCTTTAGATGAAGGGTGTTATGACGCTGATACCGGCACTGTGCTCACCTCCGGATCCAGCAATAGATGAGCCGGTCCTGGATCTCTCTGTAACGGGGGCTCACATCACTGATCAGCCTCATATATGGGTGGTGACGGATCTCTCGCTCAGCACTCTAGATATAAACTCACCCCCCATGCAGACCTAAAGATGGCGGTATTAGTCATGGACAACGCTGCGGTATGTGTGCTCCTCATGGGTGCTTGCACATGTATGTCCCGGGGAGCACAGAGCGGGCCGCTCCCTATTCTTGTGGTTTCAGATTTCTGTATTGAGCATTGAAGTGTGAAATGGAAACATCTGCTGCCGTGGTCCGTCCGCTAATCCTTTTACCTTGACAGGTGCTGCTATCGGTGAGGGAGGAGGAGGAGGCCGAGGGAAATCTGGAACCAGACTTTTCCAGGACTTCCAGATTTTAAGCCGGATCTGGACTCACCCGTGGTGCTTACAGCTGGACTATATTAGCAAGGAAAATAAGGTACGGCCGATATCATTCTCCCCCATAACGCTGCCAAATAGCGGGTAGAATTGCGGTGAAATCATGGAAATTTGTGCCGCAGATGGGTTTGCCGGCTGCTCTTTCATCTCATTCTGTATATTTGGAGATGTGTGCCCATTATTAAAGCTTTGTTTGAGGTGATGTAAGCCAGACGTTCTCCAAGCGACTGAACAGATGTGCGCGCCTGCCGCCGAGCAATCCACCGCGCTCACGTCATCCGTGTCTTCTTGTAGGGTTACTTTGATGAAGACAGCACCGAGGAGTTCGTGGTGTCCGACTCCGAGGAAACCACCCCCAGTCCCAGTTCTGAAGAGGAAACCCCCGCGTGAGTACTGAAAGGGTTACCGTGTCCCCGCCTCTTATGTCCGGCACACAAGGGGTTACCGTGTCCCCGCCTCTGATTGGGGGAGCAATGTCCGGCACACAAGGGGTTACCGTGTCCCCGCCTCTGATTGGGGGAGCAATGTCCGGCACACAAGGGGTTACCGTGTCCCCGCCTCTGATTGGGGGAGCAATGTCCGGCACACAAGGGGTTACCGTGTCCCCGCCTCTGATTGGGGGAGCAATGTCCGGCACACAAGGGGTTACCGTGTCCCCGCCTCTGATTGGGGGAGCAATGTCCGGCACACAAGGGGTTACCGTGTCCCCGCCTCTGATTGGGGGAGCAATGTCCGGCACACAAGGGGTTACCGTGTCCCCGCCTCTGATTGGGGGAGCAATGTCCGGCACACAAGGGGTTACCGTGTCCCCGCCTCTGATTGGGGGAGCAATGTCCGGCACACAAGGGGTTACCGTGTCCCCGCCTCTGATTGGGGGAGCAATGTCCGGCACACAAGGGGTTACCGTGTCCCCGCCTCTGATTGGGGGAGCAATGTCCGGCACACAAGGGGTTACCGTGTCCCCGCCTCTGATTGGGGGAGCAATGTCCGGCACACAAGGGGTTACCGTGTCCCCGCCACTGATGTGAATGGTCATCAGGAAATGTGAATGAAATGGCGCGTGTCCTAGACGCCGTGTTATGCCCCGCCCCCGCAGTATGAGGGATTTCGATGACTCTAATTGGTTTGTCTGGTTCACACGTGTGCGTTCCGGGAATGAACGCGGCAAATCACGCGTGTGGTGCCATTCTTAATGTCTGTATTTCCAGGACGAAGAAACCGAAGAAGAAAGGAAGGAACTCCAGCAGCTCGAGCGACGAGGAAAGTGACCAGGACGTGGAAGTCATCAAGGTGTGGAATTCCCGATCCCGCGGAGGAAATCCCAAAGATGCCGAAACTCCGCCCGTCAAGGTGGAGGAAAGTGAGTCGGGTCCCGGGAACAATCCCTATTCATAGACTGAACTCCGGGAGCACAGCCAATCCATGGGGGGCAGGGGGAGGGGTCACCTGCCTGTCCATCCAGTCCTGAGATTTCCACCCCACAGATTGCTCTTCTGACATAGGGAGTGGTACATTCCACCCCACAGATTGCCCTTCTGACATAGGGAGTGGTACATTCCACCCCACAGATTGCCCTACTGACATAGGGAGTGGTACATTCCACCCCACAGATTGCCCTACTGACATAGGGAGTGGTACATTCCACCCCACAGATTGCCCTACTGACATAGGGAGTGGTACATTCCACCCCACAGATTGCCCTACTGACATAGGGAGTGGTACATTCCACTCCCTATGTCAGTAGGGGG